GTAGCTCCACATCTTCGGCTGCGCGCTGCATGGCAGCTTCTAGACGCAACGCGCTATGCGGGTAAAAAACAATGCTAACATTTGAAGCCAATGTGGTTGGATTGATATCGGCCGTGATTGTGGGCGTTTGCTGCTGGGTAATTGAAAACGATAAAACAGTTACATATGTTATTCTTCGAAGTAAATAGAAACAATACGAACGGGGTTAGATAACATACTAGAAAATCTTCATATAAACGTAGCGAGTAAATGCCACCGAAACGAAATCCTGAGGGACGCGTATGACTCCACACCCAATTGCATGTGGCAGTTTTGTTAGCGGCTAGCCGATGTGCGTAGTCCAATTCGATGCCATCGTAATATGTTGGTTTGATGCGTTGTGCCAGTTTGTGTAGTTCGTGAATACTGCCGGGATTCTTTTTGTACGTAGTGCCGGGGTATAGTTGAAAGCATGCTGGAAACTGCTGTGTGCATTTCTGTGGGTACCAATCGCACGTCATGAATTAGGTGGTAAATCGGTTCAGGAAATATACGTTTAATATCGATTTTTATTTGCAAAAAATATTGTAGATCAATAAAAAATATAATGAACACTATTCGTGGCGAGGCCTTTTAGCGGTTTCGCCGTATTTTGGCGGCTTTCTAAAAAGAATACTCAAAATTGGAAAAATAATTTTCAAAAATTGTGATTATTTTGTTTTTGAATAACGACAATATGTTTTGAAAACGTCAATGTGAAGTGTTGGAAAATTTTTAACAGTATGGTGAATTAAACTCGCATAGTTATTTCAAAGCACATGGCGTTCAGTAATTATTGTTACCAAGATACCGGTGTGCCCATAGCTGGAGGCGAACTTAAAGCCCACCCCACTTAGCCTTACTGAGGCGCGCGCAGCGGCAGCTCTGCCAGCTATATCTATAGGCGATTCGAGTTGAAGTGGGGCCACTTATTCCAATTAAGGTGGCTCTTTGTACCCTTTCCAGCTGCTTGACAATGAAGGCCTTGGACGCACTGGAGTTCCACCAGGCGAGTAGCCCATATAATAAAATTGGCTTATAGTTTCATAAAGCCAAAGAACTACTTTCGTCGAAACACCCCAGCGCTTACCAATGGCCCCTCTACAACAAACAATTCAAGGCTACTGTAGGCTTCCAAGAGGGCTTACTGTCAAGGTTTAAACCATGGTACTTCACGCTGCCAGAGAGAATTAGAACGAAGACGGCAAGTCGGTATCTTGTACCTCCTAGTAAAAAAATGAGCTTCGTTTTTTTATGGTTTAATCGATCAATCGATCAAGCTCTTCGGCGTCTTCAAAAGAAACGAGGAGAGATTTATCGGCCTGAAGTCTCTGAGAGATACATTCGAGTCTTTACTCGCCTTAGGAATGAACACAATTCTGACCACCCTCCAATCCTCCGGAACATGACGCCTGGTCAGGCAGCTCGCAAAGATAGGAATCAAACGGCGCCATGATACCTCTGCAGATTTCTGCAGTTGGGATGGTATTATGCCTTCCGGGCCCGGGGTCTTAAGGGGCTTGAAAGAGCTAATGGTTCAAAGAAGGTAATCCTCCATAAAAATTTCCGGGGCTATTAGAGAAAACTTTTCTTGATGTTTATGGGAAACTGGGCTCGAACCTAGGACCTGCGGAATGGTAGTGCGTACTTCTAACCACTAGATGACCGCGACGCCTTTACTATCCCATTGGGTATATTAAATACCTGCTAGAAGGATGCATTTAGTACCATAGTTTGCCAGGGAAGCTGAGAAAAAAAGGAGACTCAGGTTTGGCTTGAGCAGAACACATCCTAATCTATTCAATTTAACACCGTTGTGTTTAAGAACCTGCAAACAGTGTGCGCCATTCTACAACCTTAGTTTTGGGTGAGCGAAATCCCAAGCGCGCTTGGAAAATTGGTGTTAACCTTAACTTCCCCTTTCTGCTAATTGAGATTCTATTTTCAAAAATCGTCTGGTTAGAAGACACCACAGATTAGTGCAGAATTTACAAAATTTTGATTAGTTAGCCAGTACTGTAAGATCCTCCCCTCTCCGGTTCTCTTACCTATCTTGTGGTCTTGGTTCACGTCAAAGCTTACGGGGATGATGTTTCTGCACGGTCATCAGGAAAACTACTTAGGATGGTACCTAAATAAGATTGAAGACTTGTGCACTTTGTCTTAACCTTCGAATGCTTACATGCGCAAAGCTAAGTCTTTCCGTAAAATATCGAGTTGCGAAGCTGAAGGTAAATCGAGCGCTGAAAGTTTTCGGACAGCTCAGCTACGTAAGAGCTCAGGCAGATGATATTAGCGTTATACTTACATGGCTTTAGTCAGACCAATCGTCACGCACTCTTCTGTGGTATGGTGGCACTGGTCAAAACCGCGGTTTCTATGTTAAACAGGCGACGAATTAGTGTGTGCATAGGCATTACGGGTGCCATGAGTACAACTGAGCACCTTTGGATTTAACGATCCAAAAGGAGGCAATGAAGACGATGTGCCGATTGTATTTTTTTGGATTGTGGCAGGATGACCGGAGTTCCGGGCAGCGCAAGTTGTTCCGAAGATTGTCACCGTATTATCCTTTGTTTTTGACACCTATATCGCCAACGCAACGGTCTTTCAATCAAAAATCTTTGCAATACTGAAGGTAACAGGCTGGCTAATTGGCGAAAGGTGGCGCGGACATGATATCAGGGTCTGCAGTAACAGCCAAGCTGCTCTAAAGGCTTTGGAAATCGCTCAAATATCTCAAAAAAGTCGTGCAATTTAATTTCAGGTTGAACTGCGTTCGAAGGTGGAATGAGCTCGAAATTGTGTGCATTCCAGGACTCTACGGTGTTCAAGACAACAAACTGGCTGATGAATTGGCGTCCTATTGAACCGGAACCAAATGTTCGTCTAAGCATATCGGTAACATCGGGTAATAAAACTCATGCGAGCCCTGGGTGTAGTATTGACACCTGCAAAACAACCAAGTGTTTCTTGAAAAGGCCACAAAGAAGGAGTGATATACATACTAGCTCTGATTGGATTGATTACGGGGCACAATGCATATAGACGTCATACATATGTCCATCGCTTTGTACATCTTGTTTGGAAGATGCGGGCAGTAGAGAACATTTTCTTGGCCGCTGTCCGACCTTCGCCAGACTTAGATGGTACATTTGGCGATCGCTGGTTTTGAGAATGGAAGTGCAATATTATCTTTCCCTCGAAAAGCTTCTACGATTCATAGAGGGGTCTGGTAAATTTGCAGATTTGCAGAGCAGCAATGAATCCCCACTACCCTATGTATAAGTATATATGTATGTACATATCCCTGTCCTCTTCAGACCTCTGTGTGTCTCCGCAAGATGTATAAAGAGGACCTCTATTTTTTGAGTTTTTTTTTTCAAAATTGCTTTGCAAAAGTTCTTAAGACATGCAGCGATTTTGTTTTTGTTTCCTTGTTAGTTGGTTTGGTGTAATGCACAATATACAAACTTTAAGATTTATAGTTTTGACGTCGAAGAATCGACAAATCACTAAAAATTTAATTGTTTTCTTGGCATACGCATGCATGCATTTGTTTTGGTCTTGTGCCTGACATGTATATATATATGTATATACAAATGTATAAATACTTATGTGTATGTATATGAACATTTATATATATATGTATATATACCCAGCCGTAGTTCCGATATATGCGGCCAAATTCAAGTACATCACTAGCGAAATAGCAACAAAAATTTCGTTAACAAGTGATACCGTGTTCTTGAAGATCTTTTATATACATACCTATGATAAGTCCCTTACCCTGGCTGCCAAAGCTACTAACGCTTTCCTTATAAATATTAACCACACCTTCATGGACGAATTTTTGATAATAAGGGGTTCGAATGTGGATGAATTCAAGTGTTTTAATCTAGGTATGGCCACCGCTGAACAATCATACCGAATGTGTTCCAACGTCTTTAAGGCAGGAAGAGCATTTAATATCCATGGCCACTGGCCAGGCCAAACGGGTGCATGTGACAGCGCAGTGAACAGCCTGATGTTCGATGCTGTTCATATCCTGTCTATCGGAGGAATAGCCTTACTAGAGTAATTATTCCGTAAAGAGTTTAGTAAAGTTAAGTTTAAGTCAATTTGGGGGTAGATTCAAGTCTCGAAAGAAGCCCAATTGAGTCTGCAAAATCGTTCCGGTTTCACAAGGACAGACAGACGATCACACAGTGACCTCTTACGCAACACAGTGTTGCCATATTATTTCTGCTAAGAGTTGAAGAGTGTCTAAATACTACTTGTCGTGCCTGCTGATCATTCCGTTGGATAGGGCCTTGATGGGGGATTGGTTGTCTGAAAAATATAACTCGCTTTATAAACTCTTTTTAAGGCTTGAAACACTACAGACAATATGCTATTTGCATTTGAGGGAGCATACGCTAGTTTATGCTGAGTAACTTCGGAACGGGTTTGGAAGAGTATATTTAAATATATCTTTTATGTAGGAACCTACAATTTTGCGCAGCCTCCGCATAGTAAATTTCTTTTTGGGAACATTTTTTAATGAGTGAAATACAATCGGAAGTTTTCCAATGCCCGCCGAGAGGCGACCGCTGCTAGCAAGAACTCGTAGAGCATTTTGTAAATAAAATATATTCAGTAGAAGCTGCTCATAACCGCAGACCAAAGTAATAAAATTTCCTGCTGGGCTTACATGTGCATACATATGTTCGTAAATACATGCATATGTACTTAGTTGGAATACCGAAAAAGAAAAAAACATTTGGCTAGTAAATCAATAAACTTATGAATTTTTTTCCTTTACCGGAAAACACAGATCCGACATTTCGAAGGAAAGGAAAAATTGTATTGTGTTTCTAGTTGTTTGTTGTTCTTGTTTTTAAGCATTCAACGGGTATATTTATTATTTTGTGCACTCAAATTGGCTACAAATTGTGCAANAACAACAACAACAACAAATGAGTAGTAAAACTGCCTTCATACCAGCTGTTTATAGTTGCCCAAGCTAAGTCGTCGGAAAATGAGAGTGATATATAGTAACTATTCTACATATGATTGTGTGTATGTATGTATGTTAATTTGCGTCTTTAACATTAGAAAGACATAAACGACAATGAGAACATTGTGAAGCATATCCACTGTGAATATTTGGTAGGCTGCGCCTCTGCCTCCTGGGAATAGGTTTTCTACCGATTCTGGAGGCAGCCGCTAAAACGAGGGAACAGAAAGTTATTCCAGTTAGCAAAGAAAACTTTTATGCATGTTTTGCAAAAAGACGCGCAGTGGCTGGCCAGCCTGCCCTAACCTAACATAACCTAACT